CCAATTGTTTGAATAGCCTTATGTTTGAACCCTTTTACCTCCCATAAGAACTTGAATGGTATTGAAATTATGCAAAAGCAAAAGTGTGGAGTGGTGGTTTGGTTTTCGAGTGGAACCATTGAAATAGAGAAAAGGTGCAGAGTTTTGAAGAATAAAAGAAGAAACACCACGAAAAGAAAAAAAACAAACAAAATTTTGTAAATAAATATGATGGTTGATAAGTGGTAGCTTGATGCAAATGCACCTAAAGGAATGGGATGTTATAATACATTGTGGGAAATGTCTGGTTGACATAAGAATGATATGGAGTGTTAATGTGTTTTGTATTAAAAGTGCTTAGGGAGGTTAGTCACTATCCAAATATATCCTACCCGTCCTTTAGCCTATATTACAACCAAGTGCAGTCCTATTGATCTTAGACTGAGTGAGCTCGATTAGTAGAGTAGTACACTACGGGCAAGCCTATGATGCATCTTTGTGTCATGTGAATATTCTTTTTGAGAGTGAGAGAATTTTGTCCATCTAGGTTCCTAATTATTCTAAATATCATTATATGTGGAACTACTCTCTTGTGTGATGTGAGGGCATGTGATTCACAAAGGAAAGGTAAGTCTCGACTCTTGTATAGAGTAGTTTGAGTGAGTGCGAGTGTTGCATGGTACGAGAGATTCGACTGTTGAGGCAAAGGTTGTTCACCACTAGGTACAAATTTTGGTAAATTGTTCAAGGTGTGAATCGTTAAGGGAACGGCTTAAGGGAGTTTTTTTGGTAGAATGCAGTGGATTGCTCGAGGACTAGCAATGATTTAAGTGTGGGGTGTTGATATTAGGCTATATAGATGATATTTACACCTTAATATTATCATGCTTTATTGTTGTTTTATAGGTAAATTGATAACAAAATGATCTAAATGGTGTTCTTTTACTTCGCAGGGAATATTCTAAGTGAGGAAGCACTACAGAGTATTTTGGAGGCAATAATGTGAAGAAAATGCCCAATCAAGAAGTACCCGAGCACAAAGAAGCAAAAAATGGACTGAGTGAATTCCACCGCGACCGCGGTGGAACCGCGGTAGACCAAGTGTTCGAGGAAGAATGTTCAGCGTTCACTGCGGTCGAACCGCGGTCTTGCCACGACCGCGGTGAACTGTTCACGTGCCAGAAATTTGAGGACCAAAGTGTAATTCGGGAAAAACTTATTCCAAACCCTTATAAACTTTAGAAGTTCGCCCAAGACATGGGGAAGCTTGTTTTTAGACTACTTTGGAGGCAAGAACAAGTGTGAGAAGATCAACCAAACATTAGAGTTTTTCTATCTGCTTTTATTTTCTTGCAATTACCCATTATGAATAATTTAGTAATTTTATCTTGTTTTGTCATGAGTAGCTAATTTCCTAGTCTAGGGTTTTGATGGAACCTATTGAAGGATGAACTTCTTGTTATGTTAATATAGTTTGCCCAGTTTAATCTCTATTTGTTCAACTATGTGCTTGATTGACAGGATCCTCAATTAGCTGTGCCTATTTAGTGTGCATAACTCGGAAGAGAGTGCATATTTAGGTAATTGTTGAACAACACCACTCCTAAAGTATATGAGGGATCAATAACTGAGGGTTTAAAGGTGGGATTAGGGATAACGAAGCCTTGGGTGTAATCTAAAGTGAGCTGTAATAAATAAAGCCAGCTAGCGTAACTCGGGAGAGTGCATTTAGTAAATTATTGTGATTGCTCGATAGATATTTACGGTAATAAGAGTGCTCATGATTGATAGAGACGATTATTGGGTAAATCTATGTGAAACATAACCGGAAGGAATTCCATCAATAGGGGAAATCATAACCTTAGAACCTTCTCTTAATTGGTTACAACTCAATCATAGTTAGTTTTTAGTTGATTATTTGTATTCTTTCGTAGTTAGTAGAAATACCCTCAACTATTATTTACAACGTTTGGGAGGTTGATTCCATGGAATTTAGTAAGTCTAACGAGAGTAATTGATAGATTAATTCCTTGTAGGTTCGACTCTGGGCTAAATACTCAGATTATATTTGCAATGTCCGCGTGTCCTTTTTATAAGGCATAGTTGGGCGTGATCAACGACATAATAGAAAGACTTTGAGGAGTTGGGAGATGCAGAGTTGTCTGTTTTGAGTGCTACTGATGACACTGCTACTAAGGAGCTGACTAAGGTTCGAGAGGAGGTTGTTGGGGTTGCTGCTTCAACTATGGAGGGTGATCTAATAGCAGCCGTCAACACATCTAGTGCCGCATTGGAGGATCCATCAGCATTAAGGATCTATGTTCGCGACCGATCCTCCCGGCAACCTGAGATATGATGAGGGAGTTTCTGACACCCACTCTACTATTGATCATTTTTTGTATGTTTTTTGTGATATTGTGCAACTGGGGATAATGCACTCTCTTAAGTGTGGGGTGGGGTTGTTAGAATTTGATTTTTGTGGCATGTATTTAATTGCTAGTGATATATTTTGTTATGATCACACTTAAGGACATCGTAATTGTATAATCATAGTTAGGTTTTTATTGGCATAGTCCTGGGTTTTCTTAAAACTACGGTTCTTTCCCGAGGATGACATTTTCTTAAACTAGGTAGTTTCTTTTAGGTAGCTTTTGTTAACTTTGTAAAAAATTGGTGGACTTTGCCCGGCGATGGATTTTCTAGGCAGTCTTCTTGAGGGATTAAAGACTAAAGAAAAAAAATACAAAAAGATTGTTTTTCTTTGTTTGTTTTGAACTGATAATGGAGTGGGAAAAGCTTGAGTATTGTGCTTCGTGACATATTTTATATCAAGGCTTAGACCTGGAACATTTGTTCTTAGCACTTTCCTCGTAATTCTACCGATTATGTGCCTTGATAATATATGTAACTTTATTTTGACTCTTGGGCTCATATTTTGACTCCTGTTATGTACTTTCGATATGGTTTAGTTTATGATGACGATGCTTAGTTACTTTCACTTGAGAGTCGGTTCTGAGCCGTCTTGAGTGGGTCATGTACATTGGCGAGGTGAGAATTTTGATTGTACTCTGTGCCATCCCGGGCTAGTCTAGAACTTGTCCTGTCTGAGTCGAAGCAAAATGATTAAGTCTCGTAAGACTAGAAGATGATATAGGCATTTATTTGATTGATTATTGAGCCTCTTTTGCCTACTAGTGCTAATATTATCCATAGTCAATCCTTTTGAGCTTGTTGACTTTTTCTTTGGCGCCCACATTACAAGTTGAATTCCCTTTGTTTTTAACCAAATCTTGTTCACCCTTTACCTCTGAAAGCACTTAAGTCGCTATAAGACTAAAGAGAGAGAGACTGGGTAGCTTTTGAGTTGAACCACAAGAAGGCCGAGAAGGTGCATTGTATTTAAGTGAATTGCTAGCAGGAAACACCAAAATTAAAGGGAGTGTTCAAAAATTGAAGAAAACGCAAAAGAAAAAAAAAGAAAAAATTTATAGTACACCTCCCATGTCTTGATCCGGGCTAGTGAACATCTACGTGATGATATGATTAAAGAAGAAGGGCCTAATCGTGTATTGGTTCGTGGCATGACATTGACTTGGTCGTGACGAGAAGGTGTTTGAAAGTGAAGTAAAGTGTGTTAATGTGCTTAGCAGGGGTAATCCCAATTTTTTCCAAATATATACTACATGTACTGTAGCCTTCATTACAACATATGAAGTCCTACTTGATCCGAGCATGTGCAAGCTTAAAATTAGCCTAGTCTTACACTATGGGCATACCCATAGTACGAACTTGGGTGGCATATGGGTTATTTTTGCGAGAATAGGCGAATCCTTTCGATTTGAGTGTCCTTAAAATATACTCAAACATATGTTTGAGTTTGTGAACTACTTTCTCTCTTTGGTTTGTTGGTGAGGGCACATGATTTGCAAAAGATTGGTAAAGTCCTTGGTTTTTGAGCTAGCACAATAAGCGAGACTTAGTTTAAAATGTATTGGAGTCAAATATTGAGGCTAGGATCTTAGAAAGAGTCACACAATTATTTTAATTAGTTTGGAATGACGAAAATCTTGAGGAAAAGTATGAATAGTGCTTATGCTAGGTTCTAAGCGTTAGTATAAATCATTATCATTGGCATGATGCTTGAGTAGGTTTGGAAATTTATTTCTTGCGATGTGCTTAATTTTATTCACTCGAGGACGAGCAAAAGTCTAAGTGTGGAGTGTGATAAATGACCAAAAGTACATGACTTTGGGGGTATTTTCATCTTATTTATCGTGTGAGTTATGGGAGATTACATAATTTTTGAAGTGAAATATACTCATTATGTGTTTCTTGTGTGTAGGAGTGAGTTCTAATGATAATGGATCAAAAGATGTCAAATTATTGCAAAAAGGAAAAAAATGGAAGGATTGAGAGCTCGTCTATCTTGAGCGTGACACGAAACGGACGCAAAAAAGGAGAAAACTAAAGGCACAAAACAGTGAACTGAAGCAGAGGCACGGATCGCTTCGCGAATCGAAAGAATTTCAAAAGCTAAATCGGCGTCCATGGGCGTGCGAGCGTAGATATGGATTCCAGCCTTTTCCGTTCGAGTTTGGATTGATTAGTTCCACCCCATATCAGCCCTAAGTGATATAAATACATCAAAGAATGACTTTTTAAGGGTTAGACATTATCTTTGAAGGCAAGAACAAGCAAGGAGCAAGGTGGAAAATTCGAAAACGTGTTTTTATCTTTCTTCTTCCTTTTTATATTGTTGGTGATGAATTCTAATATTGTAGTTGGGTGCAAACAATTATAAGTAGCTAAGCTATTTTATCTAGGGTTTGAAGGAACCTTTTGGAGAACGAAATTCCATTACGTTTAATATAAGTTTGCCATTGAATTTTCTCTACTTGTTCAACTATGTGATTATTGTAGTTGATTGAAGGGTCCTCAATTGACTGTGCCTATTTACTGTGTATTGCTTGAAAAAGAGTACACATTTAGGTAGTTGTTGAATAACATCACTCTTAACGTAAATGAGGACTAAATATGGAGGGTTTAAAGGTTGGATTAGGAATAAAGAAACATTTATGCTATCTTAGTGAGCAGTGAACTAATGCCAGCTAGCGTAGTTCGAAAGAATACGCCTAGTAAATTATGGTAATTGCTCGGAAGAGAATTATGACTCCCAAAGTACTCACGATCGGTAGAAAATACTTAGGCAAATTTATAGGAAACGTAGCGGGGAGAATTTCGAAGAAGGGGAAAATCATAACTCTAGACCTTTCCAATATTGTTTATAAATATTTGCTTTGTTAGTAATAAAATTATAGTTTTTTAATTACTTATCTTTTAGTTAGTAAACACTCAATTCATTATCCAATATTTCTGCAAGTTGATTACTTGAATTCTTGCGAAACTAGTGGTTGTAATTAATAGGTTAATTCTCCGTGGGATTCAACTTCGGACTTGTAAACCAGATTATATTTGAAAGTTTAATCTTTTTTAAGTAGTATATAGGCGGATAATCACAATTGTGCTTGTCTTACAGAAACCTGGTTTCCATAGATGATTGCAACAACTAACTTCACAACATGTAAAGCATATGTATCTTGAATTTTGCTGTTTCCGTAATATAAGGGAGAATACCCCATGATTGGTTCAAATCTATTCCTTTTGGTGATTGATAGCTTCATTTTCCTGTGATATGCAGAATTTCCTCTTGCTCAGACAAAAATTGTTGTTTTTTTCCGGATTCAGAGACCAACAAATTCCATTGACAAGCTTAATCCAGGTAAAAGTCGTTTCAAGGTCTCGTCATTGTGTTCTTCATTTGTTTATGGTTTCATTACTTTTCCATGCCTCTTATTACTTGAAAAGTGAGTGATCTTGATCCTTTGTTTCTTTAGATTGCCAAAAGAAACGAAAACGTAGTAGTAGTAGCTTGGCAGTGTCGAAGAAGGGGAGAAGATTGCTTCCCTTCAATCCTTGTGAGGATCCTACCAGGAGACTGGAACATATGGCGTCTCTTGATACTGCTTTGACAACAACTGAAGCAGAATTCAGTAATGAGCTTACTTATATGTCAGGCATGGCTGCAAGATCAGCCAATCGTGCTGCACTTGAACGAGACGGGATGCAGGTATAGCAAAACATAGAAATATTGGGAACATTATATTTTGGCCAAAGAAATGTGTTAGACTTCAGAGTTGGCAGGGTAATGATGAACTAAACTTTGGAAATACCAAGAACAGCAATTCAAAAAATATACTACAATATTGCTTTATCACTTTGTAAAACATGCCCCTTTTGATTTCTATGTAATCAAAAATATTTGCCAAACAAGAAAGCAATAGCAACTGTAAATGTCAAAAGTAACGACACAAGGAGAGATCGTGGAAGGATTTGATTATTCTTTTGGTCAGAAAAACTCAAGCTGCTTTCACATGGCGTGTTACTTGATTAATTCTAAATCTTAAGCCTTTGGTTATATTTCTCAAACTGAAGGTGTTGTTAGAACTCTGTATTCAAAATCAGTAAATGAACAAACGTTAGTTTTAGAAATGAAAGCAGAAAATTCCGAGCCTACAAGTTTCTTGTGTTTCCTTAAGGAATTTAATCCCCTTACAATGCCCAAGGTTACGAATTAGTTCCTCCCAGAATAGAATGGAATAACTATTCTGTGATAGCGGCACTTCAAATCACAGAATTTCGGCGAACTCAAATGGCGGAGCAAATCACACAAAATGCTTATGTTTTGGGTTTTGGAAAAACAACGCAGAATGCAGAAGTTTGAGGGGAGTGATTTCAGATTTTTTTCGGTAGTGAAAATGAGGCTAAACCTCTCTATTTATAGCCAACAAGGTTGAGTACCAACAAGTGCAAAGGTGCCTGTTCAATGATACGATGTCTATTCAGCTATTGAATGGAACGTTTCAGCTGTTGGTCGCGAAATAATTCCGCGATCTTCCAATGCGCGAAAATGATTCCGCGATCTTCCAATGCGCGAAAATGATTCCGCGATCTTCCAACTCGAAAAATATTTAGAAAAGAAATTGTTAAATAATGGAAAAGAAAATAAATTTGGTCCAAAAAATTATCAATCATATCAATAGACCAAAATCCGAAGCCGAAGTCGAAGCTGAAGCCGAAGCCGAAGCTGAGCGAGCGACGACGACGGCGCGAGACACCACTCCTTCTTAACTCTTTAAGAGCTAGAAGATGAGCTTCTATATTTATACACAAAATTTTTCTTTCCTTCTTCCAATGAGGGACACAATGCATTAGTAAAGTGAACTAATTCAAAATTTCACTTCCCTCCATTTCTTTTCCCACTATTTTTCATTCACACGTCTTTTGATATTAATAACTAAACCCAACAATCCCCCACATGAATGGGGAATGACTATCTGAAATAAATATGCATGAAAAACTGTGTGTGATTTACAAGTAAGGATTAACCGCATCTGGATAAGTAGGTTTCCCTTTGAACTTTCTGAAGTGAACATATATCGGCTATACTTGATCAATCGGTAGATTTGATATCTTTGAACCGTCGAATTTTGGTGTATACCTAGACAGCCATATGTCACACTATCAACCCTTAACCGTCTTTGGTTCTCATTGTTGTGTTTGTTTCAGCCATGAACACCGCTTGGTTTTATAAGTGCGTAGAGAACTGGCCTTAGAACATTCTCCTTGAAGCGCCTTACACTTCACACTTATATAGGTGATTCCTAAATGTATTATCCCGTAGATACACTATTTGATATACCCCGTATCAAACTTAGAAACCATTAAAAAGTCCTAACGCTTTATCCTTGGTACTGAACATTGTCTGCATCATGAGAATGGACCAAAATTTTATTTGACAATGTTGAACCGTCACTAATGACTTTGTTTGATCTCCTTGAACTTAGATCTTGGGATCTCCAATCTTCTAGGTAGAGTTACCGCCATAGTGACTTGTCCTCGGCCATAGTCCCATTCCCTTTGATAACTTCTCAACCGCCTCTCTAGGTAGGCCTTTTGTAACCAGATTCGATACATTATCTTTTGACTTTACAAATTCAATTGTGATAATTCCACTAGAGAGTAGTTGTCTAACGGGGTATTATGTCTTCGTCGAATGTGACGATATTTCTCGTTATACATAACGCTCCCAGCCCTTCCTATTGCTGCTTGACTGTCGCAATGTATGCATACAGGTGCTAAAGGTTTGGGCCAAAATGGAATGTCTTTTAAGAAATTCCGGAGCCATTCAGCTTCTTTACCGGCCTTGTCTAAAGTTATAAACTCAGACTCCATTGTAGAGCGAGCGATGCATGTCGTTTTGGATGACTTCCAAGACACTACTCCTCCAGCAATGGTAAAAATATATCCAATTGTGGATTTTATTTCTGTTGATCCAATTTGCATCACTATATTCCTCAATAACTGCGGGATAATTATTGTAATGCAATGCATAGTCTTGAGTATATTTCAAATATCCCAAAACTCGTTTCATTGCTATCCAATGAGCTTGGTTGAAATTACTTGTGTATCGACTAAGCTTGATTATTGCACAAGCTATATCAGGTCATGTACAATTCATAATGTACATCAAACTTCCCAACACTCGAGCATATTCCAACTGAGATTTGCTTTGACCTTTATTCTTTACAAGAGTATGGTTTAAATCAATTGGCGTTTTTTTACTTCTTTAAAGTCCAAATATTTGAACTTTTCAAGAATTATTTTAATATAATGAGATAGAGAAAAATCTAGACCTTGAGGAGTCTGAAGAATCTTAATTCCCAAAATTAAATCGGCAACTGCTAAGTCTTTCATATCAAACTTACTAGTAAGCATGCGCTTAGTAGCGTTTGTGTTAGCAATGTCATTACTCATTATCAACGTATTATCCACATATAAACAAATAATGACTATTTGATTTGGGGTATTCTTAATGTAAACACATTTGTGACACTCATTTATCTTGAAACTATTTGACATCATTGTTTGGTCAAATTTCGCATACCATTGTTTTGGTACTTGTTTTAGTCCGTAAAGTGACTTAACAAGTCGACACACCTTCTTTTCTTTTTCGGAAACTACAAACCCTTCAGGTTGTTCCATATAGATTTCTTCATCTAAATCTCCATTTAAGAAGGATGTCTTTACATCCATTTGATGGATTTGAAGGCCATACACGGCGACTAACACTATTAACACTCGGATAGATGTAATCCTTGTTACCGACAAGTATGTGTCAAAGTAATCAAGACCTTCTCATTGTCTAAATCCTTTAACAATTAATCTTGCCTTATATTTGTCAATAGTACCATCAAATTTCATTTTCTTCTTGAAAATCCACGTAGAACCCAAAAGTTTATTTCCCGGAGGAAGATCAACCAATTCCCAAGTATGATTACTTAATATGGATTCTATCTCACCATTGACTGCCTCTTTCCAGTATTGTTGTTCCGAGGGACACATTGTTTCTTTGAATGTTTGAGGCTTATTTTCTAACAAGAATGCCAGAAAATCTGGTCCAAAGAAAGTAGTTGTCCTTTGACGTATACTACATCTTGGATTATCCTCATCAAAAGTACTTTCCTTTGTTTCTTCCTGAGGTCGCTTAGATTTTTCATTAGACGACTCACATTCCATTTTATACGGATAAATATTCTCAAAGAATTCAACATTATCGGATTCAATTACCGTATTAATATGAATGTCGGAATTTTCTGATTTATGAACCAGAAAATAATATGCCTTACNCACAAGTTATAGGTAAACCAAAACTTATTAACAAGGCATTCATCATCTCCTTTAGCGTTCTATTCTTTCTTTCTGCAATTCCATTAGACTGCGGTGAGTAAGGGGCAGTTGTTTGGTGAATAATGCCATTTTCCAAATATATTTCTTCAAAAAGAGATTCATATTCGCCACCCCTATCACTTCTTATCATTTTGATCTTTTTGTTTAGTTGCGTTTCAACTTCATTTTTGTATTGCTTGAATGCATCAATTGCTTCTTCTTTATTATTGAGTAATTAAATATAGCAATATCTAGTACTGTCGTCAATGAAATTTATGAAATACTTTTTTCCACCGCAAGATGGTATTGACTTCATGTTGTAAATATCTATGTGAATTAAGTCTAAAGGATTTGAATTCCTTTCAACTGACTTATAAGGATGCTTAACATACTTTGATTCCACACATATTTGACATTTCGAGCTATTGCATTCAAACTTAGGCAATACTTCCAAACTAATCATTTTTCACAAAGTTTTGAATTTGACGTGGCCTAAACGTTCATGCCATAAATTATTTGACTCAAGCAAGTAAGAAGAAGCTGAAATTTTATTCATATCAATGGCAATTACATTGAGTTTGAAAAGGCCCTCAGTCAGGTAACCTTTTCCTATATACATTTCATTCTTACTAACTACAACCTTATCGGAAACAAAAACACACTTAAAGCCATTCTTGACTAGAAGTGATGTCGAGATTATATTCTTCTGCATTTCAGGAACATGAAGAACATCATTTAGAGTCACAATCTTGTCAGAAGTCATCTTCAAAGCTATCTTGCCCATTCCTTCAATTTTTGCAGTAGAGGGATTTGCCATAAACACTGTCTCATTGGGTCTAGCGGGAGCATAAGAAGTAAACAACTTCTTGTTAGCACAAACATGTCAACTTGCTCAATCCACCATTCTCTAGGATTTCCGACTAGGTTGCATTCTGAAAGCATGGCACATAAATCATCTATTTATCATTCTTCTCAATCATGTTTGCTTGACTTTTCTTCTTGTCCTTCTATGGTGCACGACATTCAGAAGCCTTGTGTCCAACCTTTCCACAGTTGTGGCAATTACCTTTGAACTTCTTCTTGCTTGGGTAATTCTTTGGTCCAGATGGCTTCTTTCTCTTTTTACTCGTTGAAGCTTCCTCAACAATATTTTCACCCATTATTGTTGAATTTCCACGAGACTTCTTCTCAACAGCCTTGTGGTCCTATTCAATTCGTAGACGAACAATAAGGTCTTCAAGCGTCATCTCCTTGCGCTTATGTTACAAGTAATTCTTAAAGTCCTTCCACAGTGGAGGCAGCTTTTCAATAAATGCCGCAACTTGAAACGCTTCATTTATGACCATA